TTCTGCCGGTGACGGAGAGATAGAATCTAGGTCAGGGGAAGCCCCATGACCCCAAGATTCTTTTTCCCTTACGTCACGAACCACGTGACCGAGCCCATATGGTGACGCCATAGACGGCTGTACAATCACTCTGGTTCCTTTCTCCGCATCGAGGACTTAGACCAACGCTACGGAAAGAGTGGGGTGGTTGGGGGGGCCAGGAGTCTATGGTGGGTATGAACTATGAGAATAGGCGGGTTCGGAGAACCCTCTGCCTAAATTTATTATGTTCAATTACCCACCATAGACTCCGGTCAGTCAAAATGACTATTTTGAACTGTAGGCAGAAGTCAGACGCCAATAGGTGGCGAGTTTTCCAAGCAAACAGAAAAATGATGAAAGTCGCTTCCCAGTCCGGGATGAAATACAATAATCACTCAACACTCTGGTTAAGGCCCAAAAAGGGTGGTGTCTTACCTTGCCTGTGCTGTCCCCGAAGCAAGAAGCCAAAATGCTGCTACGGTGACAGGGTTCGATGTGCCCGAGAAAGCTAGACCCCAACCCAATTCTGGGGGTAGTAAGCTTTTGAAGTAAAGACCGAAACAGTTCTGCATGAGGGCATAGGCCGCAAAGCGGGACCTGGGAGTTTCCAGGGAAGTGCTGACGGTAGAGAAATCCGTCCGCATAAAATGCCGAGACTGACTTATTGCCTATGCGCAGGGACCCTTGTGGTCGCTCGGGCTGGGTCAGCAAACCAAGACTGACCCACTACGACGGGACCCAATCTAAAGAGACCTTCCTCAATGGATACGGTGTCTGTTAGGTGGTAGTTGATAAAGACGTTCTGCGTTCTCCAGAAGCCTGCCCTCCGTGTATGCTCGAGGGGGCACCTGACGCTAGCACCAGTGAGTTGGCAATCACACGGACCTCATGCGCTCATACTTGGTGTCTTTGCAAGCTCTGTGTCAAGGAAGTTAAAGGATTATAGACCTCCAATACAGTCGCAGTAAACCACCTGTTTATGGAAGTGGGGAGGTCGGCCTATCCTGCCTGCCTGGGCCGTAACACAAAGACATGTGCCTGGCACCCCGTCCTGAATCCTTAGTACGGTTTGGTAGCAACTCTGTGCTCAAACCGGGCAGAGAAGCAATTCCTCCTGACCCCCCGGGCAGACAAAATTTGACAGCCGGGGGATGACGATCGGGTGAGGATCGTGTCCTGGGATTTGGTTCTAGGCGAGAAACCCGATTCGTGTCTTTCGCACAACTTGATTGTTCATAACGGCGGTACATCATCCGAGAAGGACAATTCCCCCAGCTCTGGTCAACGCCTCCCTGAGGTGGTGCTGATCAGAGAGGCTCAAAGGGCGGTCTGCTCAGAGCGGACAACACAGCCAACAAGTCCGAGTTGGGTGGTTCCCTTGTATGGGGTCTTGGAGATGGATGGTATGAATTAATGTCCCTTCCGCTACACTAATCAGTGTATGCTCGCAGCCTAGCAATGTAGGCTGCATTGGTGGAATCCCTGTTCGCCGTGGCCAGGACGTTGGCAGCCCGCTCAGATAAGGCTTTCGTATGTGCAGGTTTAATGAGAGCCTCTATGCATGTAAGTGATACCCGCTGGGCTCGTTGGTAGTGCGCCGTCTGGTTGGGACGGCAGGTCCGATAAGTACCGAAGCACTATTGGTGTTTCGACTAGCATTTCTGACAGAAGTGGAAACTAGGCCTTGCTTGGCCAATTGGGTGCGACCAATGATAATATGCAGGCGTGCACCTGTCGAAGTTTTCTCTGGTGCCCGGTGAACTAGCGGGAAGGGAGGAAAGGCGTACACAACTAAGTGGGTCCACAGGGTTAGCAAAGCGATCCTGGCCCAGGCTCCTGGAGTCAGCATGAGTGTTACGTACGTCAAGAGCTTGGCGGTCCGGGATGCGGTAAACCGGTCTAACCTTGGACCGTCCCACAGCCAAAACAGCCTGGAGGCTTGTATGAACCACCCCGTGTTCTGGAGACGGAGCCGCCCTGAAAGGGTGTCTGCCAGACTGTTCCTCACCCCTGGAAGGTGGTGTGCGGTTAGCTCCACATTGTATTCCAGGCACCACAGGAGGATTTGCTCCGCTAGAACTGACAACGATGAGGACCCCCCCCCCCCCCCTTTCTTGAAGGAGACCACCGCTGCATGGCCTGTGCGGAGCAGGACTCTTTGGTCTCGAAGTACGGTAGAAAGCGTGGTAGTGCTAAGTATACTGCTTTCAGTTCGAGCCAGTTGATATGGTAGTCCGAAGTCGAATACTTGGCACAGCTGGGCGATTCGAAGAAGATGGCAACGAGCTGGGTGCATCGGTATGTGCAGGTAGGCCCCGCTTAAGTTTAGTTGGGTTAGCCAGTCGAAACTGTGAATGGAGAGAAGAACCCTGAATGGTGTCTCCATGTGGAACCGATCGAGGAGCACGTACTGATTCAGTCTGCCTAGGTTCAGAACTGGACGCCCGCCACTTGTAGATTTGGGACTACGAACACATTTGGGTAGAAGCCTAGATTTACATGTAGTTCCGGCTGATCTACCCTGTGTATGGCGTCTTTTCCCAGCAAACTGCTACTTCCTGTCTGATTGCTCCCGCCTTGCGGGAGTACCCTGGCAGTGCCCAACAGGGAAGACACTGACGGGGGAGATGGAGATTTCAGCGGTATCCCGTAGCCACCTGGAAAGGTCCAGGGATCGGTCACCCGCTGTCTCCAAACCGGACTACACCGGCGCAATCTGTGTACAACAGGGATATGTGGCCATGTGTTCGGCAATTGCGAGGGGGGTGCTCTCTTCTCCCATGAGGCAAGTTCCCCAAGGCCTGAGGAAGTCACTAAGTTGTGACCTGGCCACTCGCCAAACACATGCCTGTCCCCCCGGTTGCAGAGGTGAGCGTCAAACACGCTTCCCCCGCTGCCGGGGTAGACGTCCGCCCAGGGAGGGTGAGGAGCCATCACCTCGCTCTTTCCTCCCTGGGGGGAGCGGCACTACTCTTCCCTCCCATGGAAAGGTATGAGCGCTTGCCTCCTGGCTGACTCTGGCTAGCGGACGACGCCCTAGGGCGTTGTGTTTTCTGTGCTTGGGGTGCCCTCCGCTTGCCCTTGGCAGGGCCAACTGGCTAGCGGATTCAATCTGAACCCTCTGGTTCATTGCACTCCGAAGCTCCGAGAATGTACCCACCATTCCCTGAACAAAGAGGGTGCAAGATGTCCAGTCTGCGTCACTGAGGTGGGGACGTACCCCCTGACTCAGCTTGTCGGGGAAAACATGTGCGTCTAAGGCCGCGTCTCGTAGCAGAGTAGTGGCCCCGGCCAAGAGAGCCAGGTGACACTAGGGGTGTCGCACGTAGATGTGCGGTGGCCCGCCAGTAAATGTGTCGCCTGGTCTAGGAGGCTGGTACGTTCTGCCTCCGAGGTCTCCTCCGAGTCCTGGGCGCGCACAATAATGCGCTCAAGCAACTCTGCCCTCAGGGCTGGATGGGTAGTCTCCGATTGAGCTGGCGAGAACGCCCATGGAACTCGGCTGTCCCCCTTTGCCCGGTTTGCCAAACGGAAATTCGTGGTACCGGGGGGTCTGGGGAAGAAGCCTTGGGATCCGGTCGGGGGCGTTTTGGTCTGATCCCACGCTATGGGGTCTGATCCAGAAACAACACTGACTGGGTAGCGTTTGGTCCAGCGGGAAGTGTTGCCTAAGGCCTTAAGCGTTACATCCTCCGTGGCTGACCAACGTCCGCCCATCAACACAGTTTGCTTGCCCTGCGCCCCACTCAGACGGACAGGGAGAGACGTGCCGACGGGGTTGCTTTGGATCCCGACGCCCATGATCCCCTAAGCGTTGAAGCAACCTTAGGTGGTCGCCTTAGGATCAAGGGTGGGGGTATTTACATCGTATCACTGGGATCGATGATACTTCGCATCACCCGAAAAGCGTAGCTCACCGAGTCATTACAGATGGAAGACTCTGAGAGACCGCCCGGAGTACCGGCTGTATACGACGCGAG